GGCCCAGTCATGGCAGAGGATGGATTTACAAATGTTGCATATTCATGAGACAAACATATAAGTAATATTTACATTGATCTTCTTGTGCTATTTGCGAAGCTATTTTAGAAAATAAATTCCAGGCAGTGATATCCGGAGTCTTGTAAGATGGAGATGGGCCTAAGGGCAGAGTGAATGGCATTCGGAGTGCCTGATAGTACAGTGTTACCTGAAAAAGCAGAAATGAAAATACATTAAGATAAATTGAACCATATAGCTCAAGATATGACTGTAAACAAAACAAGACTCTTATCTTGAAAAAAGAAATCTTGAAGATGCATTTATACAATTGCAGTTGTATTAGTCTCTCCAGGATGCACCCAAACCTTAAGCTTTTGTGAGGAATCATTGTCTTCTCTTCTAGTCGCACTTCTTGACTTTTTAGAGAAATTGTTAAGGACATTGTAAAATAACTGACATAGATGAAGTTTAAGTGATAATTAAGTGACTTCTTAAACAAAAGGTAACAAGTTAAGTAACTGAGTAAGTCGATGGATGTGTCTGGAAAAGTGAACAGCATCCATTACAGGCTGAAAACTGGCATGATGAGCATTGAGGTAAGATCCCTCACTGTAGCTACAAATTACATTTACCAAGAGAATCAAATTAATGCTTAGTGTGCCTACTTCTTCATTATCATATATTAAAGATCCTGCAATACTGAATCACCATGGAAGGTTAAAGACACATTAATTTCTCTGTGTATGAACAGCTAACTGTTATTAATTTGTCAGAGATCCATAGGGGAAATTTTTCAAAGCGGTGCATAGGGATTTGGTGGACAAGGATCAATTAATCAGTGGGATTCTGCAGATCCAGCTTGTGCAAGCTGCTCTAAGAGTGTAACTAACTGCTCCAGTTTGGTTAAGGCAGAGTTGCATTTGTGGCTGTCAGAACTTGCTTGTAACTGTCTCATCAAGCATGGTTACTGCAGATGTGGGACTTGAGTGCCAACATAGATAGATGCCGTGCATGCACAGATGGAGTGCAAGGTGTTCTCAAGGCCTCCATTATCTGCTCTGAGACACCTACATATCACATGGAACTAGTCATACTGGGTAAAATGAATAAAGGCGTGAGTGCAGAGCAGTCATACTTGAGACAATTTGGGCCTAACTGCTGTTTTCAGCATGGAAATAAGGTGTTTCACTACAAAGTCTGATTTTCAACTACATTGCTGCTACATTGCACCAAAGCATCACAAAATCAAGAGTCCTCTTGTACATATTTCAAGACCCATGTAATGTAGTCAGGTATATAGCAACTTCTCTAAAATGGAATATTCTGCTTTTTTTTATTTACATTAAGTATCAAAATGTTATTAGTTGAAAATCCATTTAAGGTAAGGAAAAGGAAAATAAAAATTGACACACACCCCAGGAGCTTTAATTACTGTATCAATTGTTCGTGGAGATGTTGCAGCTGCCCTTACTATGCATTCATGAGATGGATTTCTCTGATGGGCTTCTGAGAATCCCAACACAAGTGCTGCTCCAGGAACGTATTGCATGAATCTAGAGATAAACAAGATGATGTGACGCACTCAGGTACATGAGCAAAAGCAGACATGGGAGAATGAGGACTACTAGTGGTTCTGAAAAATCAGGGAAACAATGGAATCAAATAAATACTACTTTGGGTCAAATTAAATGGTTGGTTTTATCCAGAGGAAACACATTGGTTTTATTTTGCTCATTTTAACTGGTTATTTTTTGAGACTGAATAGAAGAACATTTCAAAACAAAAAGGCATTTTGAACTGAAATATCAAATAATTTAATATGGAAAATGAAATTAAGCATGTCAAGTTTTTAAATATTTAGGGGATATCTTTTAATATGAAACAGAACACATTCACGAAATACTTTTGTGCCATTCAACTCATATTTTCCATCCAAAAAAACCCTGAAACGTTTGGGTTAAAAAATTTAATTCAGTTCTTTCAGTGTTTTTATAAAGCCAACTAGTATAAGAAAGGAACTTAGGA